TCCGTTACAACCGAGTGCGCTGACTCCAATTCGCCCAATTCTCTTCCAATTTCCAGCCTAAGACCACAAGATAGCTCTGGCGCCGCTTGCACTATACCGCCCTCTAAACCCTGAACCCTAAGCCCTCAACCCTTGCCATCACAAAAGCCAGGCAGCATCGGGCTCGATGCCATGATCCGGAGTGAGCTCGGCGAAAACACTCCCCCGGATGGACTACGACGGGCCCCTTGAATCCGACATCTGCAGCATTCCGATCCTTTTTGGGGTTTAGGGTTTAGGGCTTAGGGTTTAGGGTTACTAGGGTTTAGGGTTGCTATTTAGGGTTTAGGGTTACTAGGGCTTAGGGTTACTAGGGTGTAGGGTTTAGGGCCTCGGGAAGCCAAACAAGCGACGAAATCGACCTTCTTACGACGTTCTACTTCATTGCTGCCATCGCTGATTCTACACTTACATCGACAACGACGACGACGCGGAACAATAAGGAGCCCCGCCGCATTTGTGTGTCCGCCTGTTCCATCCACAGACAGGTGCAGCAACATCGGTAATGAAACAAGTAGAGCAAGAGCCACAACAAGAACAAAGCAAGACGAATGATAACACAAACGAAAGCAGCAAAAGCAGCAGCAGCTGCTGATGCTTCAGCAACAACACCAGCAAAAGAAACAGCAACTGCAACAACAACCACCACCACCGCCACCGCCACCCCCGCCGCCACCACTGCCACCGCCACCGCCACCACTGCCACCGCCACCACAAACACCAAGCGCCTTCTCTACAAGAAAACCAAAAGCAAACACATCTGCATTTGCCACACCCACTACAACCACCATAATTCAACATAGTCCAGGATCACCCTGAGGCCCTCACTGACTGTACAAGGCAAGATTTCTGCATTGTGATCAGTCTGCCGCAATAACAATGGGCTGCCTTGAACATTACAGTGCTGGGACTGGGGAGCGCCAGGCTGGAAGCCGAAAGCGGGAGCGCTGTGTAGAGAGTCCTGAACCACAATGGAGCCCTCTTCTGCGCTGAAATCTAAACCCCGAAGCCCTGCAGCTATGCAGGATCTGAGCGATCGACGAACTGGTTGAACTCTCCGAGGAGCGGCAGGAAACTGCGAACCTTTCTTTCGGGTTTAGGGCCCAAGCGGCGTTCAGCTTACATCGTTTGCTGCCGAGACTTCGAGGGTGCTACTGGAGCCATTGTTACGGTTCGGGTCTTTCTGGTGACTAAATCCCTTCTCTCATACACCCCATCTCGTGAGCCCTTTACAACCCCCTTAAAGGAGCCCTTTAAAGAACCCTAGATTCCAGTGTCGAGCTTCCTCATCCCAAAGCCCTCAAACCTGCAGCTTGAGGGTCGGATGTGTAGAACTTCCTCATCACAGGCGCCTCTCCTCATACTTTCACAGGAATAAGGCAGATAACTGCTTTTAGGTTTAGGGTTTAGGGTTGCTTAGGGGGTGGTGGCGGGGGAGGGTCGTTTATACCACATGATGATCATATTTCGAAATACTACTGCCACTCATTCCAGCCACTATGGCCACCATGGTACATCCAATACCACCTAGGATGCCCTGTAAGCCCAGGCATACAGCCAGATCCCACATGGGCATGCGGCATAGGGTAGGTAGCTTTCTCAGGAACCTAAGACTACAAAAAGGGGAAAAGGGCCCACTGGGAGACCTAAAACTTAGCTGCCCAGTACCCTGGACCAAAAAGTTCAATGTTTTTAGTAGGGGTTTAATCTACCAAAAAGATGTAAAGTTTACCTATTGGGCTCCTAAGAAAATGTTAAGATATCACCAACCCCAAACCCTAAACCCTGAACCCTTTAAAGAGCCGACTCCAAAAGGAAATCAACACAAGCGGGAAAGCCATGAAGCTTTGACGAGCTGGGAAGAGAACAAAATTGCCAAAGGAAGCTTCAGCTTCATATATATATATACATGTCTAATATATGATAGCATGTAAATATAACGTTCTGGGCCCGAACTCGTAAACTTGTCAGTTGCGGGGGCCATCGTCCGATAAGGGGCCAGAAAGCAAGAACATACACTGTTGGAGCATCTCTCCGCACTTCCCAGCATGCTTGCTGCCTTCATCTCCCTCTCTTTTGTGCGCTCTCTCTGTCCTATACCCGTTACATCCTCAACCAAGACACAACTTGCACATGGCGGTCTGGTGCGCTCTGCATCATCAGAATCGCCAACAGGATGCTTTCTAATGCTGCGTGCTTGTTTCGGCTTCTTGCACATCAGCCCTTCCCACCTGCAGCTGTTGCGAGTCGTGCCACCCGGCACCTGGCACAGCAACTGTGAGTTACCGCCAGTCCTGGCTCCTGAAACATCCTGAGCCAATCTGAAAGCCATGAGAGTCCCTGCCCTCCAAACCAACGCACAACACTCCAAGAGAAGTACCCAAGGAAAACCGCACCTGACAAACCCCATGCTGATGGATGCTTCGGCCTTAGCTATCAACTCTCTTTCACTGAACTTAGACGTGCATCTCTGCACTGTATCATGAGACATGGGCCTGGTGCTCGCTCCTTACGGTCGAGACAGCACGTCTCCATAATTCAACGGGGCACTGTTGTGGAGGATGCGTGGTTCCGGGGCATTCTGAACCTGCGGCCTTTTTCTAATTGAAACTTGCCGGCCTTCACGAATAACTTGCCCTCACAAATACCTCATCACTGTGCAGAAAGACAGCCACCTAATCCCCGAGAACCTATCCAACGACTCGCGATTCTGAGAACAATGCTGGGCATCTTCGCAGATCTATGCATCCAAGTTCATCATACTGCTGATGCTAGGTGTGTCTCCGGTGGTTCAAGCCGCGGGTTTGCTGATGCACAGCACAGTCTAGCACATCCAGATGTAAAGTGCCGAAGGGACAGCGACGGACCCTCAAACAAACTCGTGTCAGGATCACTGGCCATCGGCGAGCGCGCCTGCCGGCTTCTTCACCCGGCTTTGTTTGTAAACCCCGCAAACCCAAAACCTGAAGCCGATTTGAGACTCAGCGAACAACTCCAAACACGATAGGACACGTCAATGCATTCAACGAGTTCACACGAGGTTTACATACGATCGAGGTCTCCATGATCCGACTGGAGTTTTGCGGCAGACTCCGGACTATATGGGGATGCTACCCGTTGAAACTATGTTAAAAGCCTTCCCAAAACCTGATAAACCCGCTATGAATCCCTCAGATTACAGGGGGACATATAATTTTTCAACTATTCCGATTCCCATGGTTGGTTTGACGACATCGCGACAGCGAGCGACAACAAACCAGTCTTCCCACCTGCTGGGAGGCTCCAAGGTTTCGTCTCTGAGGCTCGGGTTTAGGGCTCCGGGAGCTTATTAGGGGTTGCTGTGGGGTTTAGGGTTTAGGGGTATTGTAGGGGCCTTAATGATGAGAATAGGGATGTGGGGGTATATTCGACTACATCTCAATCAAGGAACACGAAGGAACAGTATTGTGAACTTTTCCGGCTCCTTACGAAGTGCAGCATTCGGTATGGCAGCTCTTCTCCAAAGAAATCCGTGCGAATAACTCTTGCAGACTTTCCGGCAATGGTTGCCACTGCTCCGAGGCCTAAAATCCCCAAACTCTCAACCCCAAGCTAATGCTCAACCTGTAAACCGTAACCCCTAAACCGCCACAAGCTTACTGCACCTGTGGCAGATATTCATAGAACAAAGTTGTGGGTTTACTGTAGGCCTTAGGGCTAAGGGTCATGATATAGCATCATATGACTGTACAGGGCCTAAAGGCACTACATCCTAAACCAAAACACCCTAAACCCCTGAACTCTGCCTCGCTGGGCATCTCGGAATTGAGCGGAGGTCTTCCGAAGCCTCGCGCATTCATATAATATACGGACCTTAATCATTAGAATTGGGTCTTGGGGCCCATTATACTATAATTAAAATAAACCCCCCAAATAGTATTGGTAATTATTGAGGCCCCTATATTAGCGGCGCTAATGCTTAGAATAGGGTTTCGGCGCAGGTTACAATATACTTGTAAACAGGAAACTTTATAGATAATCATGGCTAGGTAAAAACGCATGACGTAATGCTTATGTATACGTATATAAATATATATATATATATATATATATATATTTATATATATATTTATTTATTTATATTTATATTTATATTTATATTTATATTTATATTTATATGTGTGTATATATATATATACGTATATATATATATAAATATATCCAACATAATATCCGTTATTCGCGACTTGATGGGCTCGGGGTTTAGGTTCGAGGGTTAAAGGTTGGGGTGGTTCTTTTCGGAGAGCTGAACCGAAAACATAGACAAACGGTTTAGGGTTTAGGGTGTAGGGTCTAGTTCTGTCACGTACACTATATAGCATAGTAGGTAGTATTCCCATACCCTAAGGGTTTATGCATCTCAATAGTATGTACTCCGGTCTCAGAGTACCCAAAGGGGGACTAATTTAAGGGTAAAGTATGTACTATTTGGATACATGGGCCCTAAACCCTCAACCCTAAAGCACCCTAAGCCCTAAACCCTAAAGCACCCTAAACCCTGAACCCTGAATCCTAAAGCAGGCACGGGGTTTTAGCATTGAAGCTGCCTCTAGTCGATCACATCGGCGCGCTACAAGGCAGATTCAATACATGTTAGCAGAGCAGTGGCACATCCGAAACCGTAGTTCACCCCCCGCGATGTCTAGGACCAGAAACCTAACCGGCAGCATCGACCATCTTTTCTTCAAAGTGAGTGAGTCAGGCAGTCATTCCAGGAATCGCACCTCCTGCAAAGGCGCGTGAAATGTCGGTTTAGGGGTTTAGGGTTTGGGGCTTGCAAAAGTATCCACCAAGCACATGGAAAGCAATTAATTGTTTGTTGAACATGGTCTCAGGTCCCGCAGATCCTTCCCTAAAAAGAACAGCGCCTCACTCTCACATCCAGGAACAGTTCTTGTCACTTCCCGGGACTTAGGAACGGACTACACTGCAGCCCGAGTGCACAAAGATCCAGGCATCCCTCTTGTTGAGATGAAAAAGGCTTGACCGGATTGAGAGTAGTAACCCAGAGGTGACGCAATCACGTGTCTCTTGAGCGGTCCCTGCGGTGCCACGGCGCGAAGGCTCTCTGCACCTGTTGCGGGATGGCTGCAAGGTCGCGGGGGAAGCCAGGCCGAATGCTGCCAAAGCCAAGGCGCGTATGGCTCCATAATCGTTTGCTCGACTGGAGCGGGTGGGGCATGCATCGCCCTGCGGATCATCTTGGCGCACCTGAGATTGCGAGCTTTCCGGAGGGGATCTTGTCGGTCTAGAACGGTTTAGGCGGTTGGTTTAGGGCCGCGACATTATGATCTGAACTTCACTGATGCCGGCGAGGGTGCACGGGCAGCAGGCTCATCGTTGGGCCTGGGGCTGGCTCATCGTGGATGTCGAATCCAAGTCCTCGGCCCGAAACCCTGCCACGAAAGCACTGCAAGGCCCACGAGTCCGTTGATTCGTTTCTTCGTTGCTCGTGTTGCAACCACTGCAAACACAGCAAACATCTGCAAGGCACAGAGGCACAACGGGCGTAACTTGGATGACGTACTTTGAAAACCCGACGAAACCAGAGCAAGAAGAGAAATGGAGTAACAGAGAGGGAGGGAGAAAGACAGAGCGACAGAGAGGAGGGGAAGACAAGGAAAGAGAGGGAGGGAGAAAGAGAGAGTGGGAAAGAGAAAGAGAGGGCTAAAGAGACGGTCAGAAAGACAAAACGAGCGAAGAGGGGAGAACAGAGCGAGAAAAAAAAAGAGAAACGACTGGGAAAGGGAAAGGGAGGGGAGAGAGAGAGAGAGAGAGCGAGAGACCGAGAGACCGAGGGAGACTGTGGCAGCATGTGCGCTGCAGAGTTGCAGTGCTTCGCTTCTTGTTACGAAACAAGGTCCAAACAAAGCTGCCCTTGTGCTCAAGATCGGCCCGAGCATCTGAAAAATATCTGCTGCGCTTGCGAGTTCAAGTACAGCACGCGTGCGGCCACGGACTCAAACGCCCATCCCGTGCTCAATGCCTCGACACAGAATAATTACAAGGAGGACTGTTCTCCATGCTCGGGGTTCCAGTGCTGAAGCTTGTCGAACCTGACGTATGCTGCATCAGGACACCGGATGAAAACTAGCGATGACTGCAGCAGTATCCTGAAACCAGCAGGTGATTCGTTTTACCGTAGCCACGACACTAGCAAAGGTAATGCTGGTGTTACACGAATCTTCTTCAAACGAGTATCAATCCGTGTCAAGGTCCACGTAATGCTGGTGCTACGCGTAACTTCTTGTGTCAATCCGTGCCGTGTAATGAAGAACATGATGATGTTGTGCTGATGACCTTGACGACGATCATGGACAAGAGCCCCGGAAAGCCCAGCTGACATAGGATCCAAAATCATGAGAGGAGGATTCCTTGAAGGTCTTAGTATAGGGGCCTTGATGAATAGAACACAGTCTGGGGTAAAACATATAGTGTAATGTAGGGGTCTTAAGAACTAGAACAGGAATTGGCGGGACATAATACTATAAAAATAGCTATAAATAAGGAACCCCTAAAATAGTATTGGTAATTACTCAGGCCCCTACATTAATTATACTTAGGAGCCCTTAGGACGAACATCCTACGTGGAAGCTTTCAGACAGCAGAGAGCTGCAAGGAGCCCAAGCCCAAACGTATCCCAACAACCACAGAACAAGCCCTAAACTTGAATTCTTGGACAACCCTAAACCCGAGCCGACCAAGCCGCCCCAAAGCCCCGCTGCCCTTTCCCGGCCTGCGTTTCCGCAGCCTGAAGCAGCAGCTTGCCTACTCCTTTATTCTGCTGGTCGCTGTCCACCTCTGGCGTAGCAGGGAATAGGGCGACAACAACACCTCAAAGCTGAGAAGATCCGCCGAGACCCCACACCTCCTGAGCTTGGACGACGCGAAACCCCCTGAGCCACCTGACCTGGAGGTGGCGGATGACCAGCTCCCCATCGCTCTTCTCTGCCCGACAGTAGCCCACCACTCGGCCGGTCTCCTCCCGAGCCACCAGGACCAGCGATCCGGTCTCCCCGCGCCCAGCATCCTCGACGATGACGGAATACTCCTCGAAGAACTCGCTGTCCTTCTCCTTAGCCCCGCCGAAGGCCGAACAGAAGTCCAGTGCTCTGCAGGACTGGACGAAGAGGTGGCCCTGGAAGAGCGCGGCCTGGTAGGCCACGAGCATCTTCTCCAGCTCCCGCACCTCCTCCAGCGCGTCGGCGGTGAGCAGCGTCACCTTGAGGGATTTAATTTGATTAAGTTACCTTATTAGAGGTCCATGGTAACTAACATGGTTGCCTTCATATGGTAGCTGAAATTCAGCTCCTTAACAAGAAGCCGGCCTTGTGCGTGGTATTTTCTGCGAGGACTGCCGGCTCTTCTGCCTTGTGCGTGGTGTTCTCTGCAACGACTGTCGGCTCTTCTCTGAGCAGCTGGGTCCTCCATGTCTTGGGCAACTTCGCCGGTGTTTAGGGTTTAGGTTTAAGGGGTTTTGGGTCCTCTCATTCTTGGGCAACTTCGCCGGCTTTGCCACCCATTCTTGCAGGGCTCGAGGCCCCTCTGCGGCTGATCCTGGCTCCTCAACCTCCTCCTCTTCTGGCCGCTTCCCTGGGTGCTCGTTAAGGACTTAACTTATATTTCAGATGCCGAAATAAGGAGACCATATCATTTACTGTAGATCCTGATATAATTTGACCTAAGTTCCTTAACCCTCAACCCTATAGCAACCCCTTCTAGCAGCCCTTGTGGAACCCGTTAAAAAGAGCCCAGTTTCGCTTTTTTGAGTCTCCCGACGGCTCCGGAGAAGAAGCCTTCAACGGCTCGGCCCACTCCTTCATCCGGGCCTGAGCAGAGGGCAGTGAAGAAGTAGAGGCGGGTTTGGGCTTTAGGGTCTGGGGCTTAAGGTCAGGGGTTTCGTGCTCAGGGTTTGGGATTTAAGGTCCTCTCTCTCGCGCTTCTTGCCTCTAACGGCTCGGCCCACTCCTTCATGCGCGACTGCAGCTCCCGAGCCACCTCGACGGTCGCGAGTCTGTCTGCCGACTGCCCAAATTTGTTGAGGATCCCCATGGACGCGCCGGACTGCAGGAGGTAGATGGCCGTCTCAAGCCGCTGCCACTTCATGGCATAGAAAAGCGGCGTCTCGCCCCACCTGTCGACCTGGTTGACACCCATGGCACATTTCTCCACGAGGTACTTGCAGAGCCTCGGCTAAGCTACTACCTTTTGAAGGAGCACCGAACATTCAGCATTCACTCGAGTTCTCCCTCGACAAAACCACCACCTCAAGCATCGCACAACATACCAGAGTCAGCCTTCTTTTGGGAATTGAAGCCCACAAGCCGCATTCCTACCCCGAGGACTCATCCCAGTCGCTGGGTGTGGCCCTCTCTAGCCGCATAGAACCTCAGCTGCAACCACACATTCACATTGCCGTTCTTCTTGTTACAAGCACTACCCTTAAGTAATGACGACCACTAGAACCCCGATGGCGATTGTCAGTCTTGCCGTTGTTACATAACCATTGTTACACAACTTGTTAACCTGGTGGTCTAGCAAAACAGAGTTTGGGGTTGCTGTAGTGTCCTTTTGAGCGATTGGTTTTGGGAGGTCATACAAACCTTCCTGTTGCGTCTCCCCCTCAGAAGCCAGGCGCTAGATTCAAAATATCACTGCACGACGACTCAGAGCAGCCCAGCACATCACGCGACCCACAGAGAAGCACCCGACCCCAGCCCGTTTGATTGCGACCACGAAAGACATCCAGCGATGCTTCTGACAGTCCCCCAGCCGAAACCTAATGCAGAAGCCTGAATCATTACCAATACTATTCGTTAGGGTTCCTTATCATGAGTATACTATAATCCAAAACCCTGATCGAATTATTTATGGCCCCTCTGTTAAACCCGAAAGCCACACGGCCGAGGAACAAGGGGCTTTGCCCCCAGTCGTCGCTCTTTGTCACCGGCTCGTTGCCGAGTCGACTGGGCTGCTAGGAAGGGGTTGCGACACAGGCCATGAAGTTCCAAAGCTGTAGGGTTTAGGGTTTTGGAGTTGCTTCCAAACTGGGCTGAGGCTCCCAACACAATTTCTAGGAGCGTCAGCCGCCGAGGGAAGCGCTGGGAACTCCCAAACGGGCTCTCGCTGTTCCGAGGTTTCGGCTATCAGCGGAGCGCAGAGGATTGAGGCTTCTAGGACTTCACTTTAGGGCTTACTGTAGGGTGTCAGTACACATCTGAAGGGTTCTGTAGGGAGCTCCATCGATGTGCCTTTAAACCTTCCCCAGGAGCCTTTAGGCTGTGCATGGTTTGCCAGAATCGCGTACATAATGAAACAAAGTAGACTGTAATGAACAAGCACCTCGAATCTTACGACACAGCTAGTTCAACCCTCCCCCCCCTGCCCTTCCCGGCGGCTACTCGCTCTGGACAGCACTCCTCAATTACAGCCCAGAAAAGGTGCTTGGGCTTTGGGGCTTGTTCTAAATATTCAGGATTGGTTCAATATACCCTTATAGAACCCGTTAAGGGTTTAATGTACCCTTGTAGAGCCCTTTAAGGAACCCTTTAAAGGGACCACTGGGTTTAGGGTTTAGGGTTTAGGGATCATCCCAGGGCCTCAGCAAACCGCGACAGAGTTCGTCGGCCGAGGGGTCCTGCGCACGGACCCTTGAAGCAGGCTGCTCGGGTAACCATGTAGGAGCCTTAATAATTAGAATAGGACTTTAGAGTCCTTCATAGTATAATATAATAAGGAGCCCCTGAAATAGTGTAGGTAAGTGTTAAGGCCCCTATATTAATCCCTTTGAGGGGTCGTTGCCAGGCAGATCTTCCACGAAGTTCACCCGTTTCACTTGTGCTCTCAATGCCTCTCAGCAGCATGTCAACAAAATATTTCTGATACAAAGCCCAGCTCTCACAACACCCATGGCGGCCGAGATAGCTACGTCCGTGCCGATGGTTCAAGCATGTCTGAGAGCATCGATGTTGGTGATGTTGGCTGATTGCGGCTACGTATGCTGCCAAAGCCTCCAGCAGGAGGTGATGATGTCTGCGTAGCCAATCTACCGTACTGTCGGTACATGCGGGAAAGTCTCCATGGTGCATGGCTGAGATGAGTGCATCGATTACGACCGGGTGATCAGGTCAGTCACCGTAATGTTCGACAGTTCACGAGCATCCCGCCACGATGATATCCGAAGCCCTCCTTCCGTGCAGCCGCGAAGTAGACGGCAGTCTGCCCTCGCCTCAGAGCACAAGGAGAGGACACACAGCACTATTGCAAAAACGGGCGAGCACTCGAAGGACCGGACAACTGTTTTTGAGGACTTGCTACAAAGCCGAGCAGCAACTTCCATGTTGGGTCTATGTGGGCGGCGGCGACCCGAGCTTCCTCCTCGCGACACCCAAATCCAGGGTCAAACGACGAAGAACAGTTGATGGCGATGGTGGAGATTGCTGGTTTTAGACCACTCCAGCCAGCCATGAAGACTATGACCATGGTTGTCATCATGATTTTGATGATCATAGACGCTTTCTTTGCCTTGATCCTGCTGACAACGACTGTGTTTGTGTGCGATCACGACGGAGGTGATGATCATTGCTGCGGAAAGGCAAATGCAGGAATGATGATGATGGTGATGACGATGGTGGTGATGGCGATGATGAAAAATGATGAGGGGGTAGGATGTTGGTGATGGTGATGGTGATGATGATGATGATGATGATGATGCTGATGATGATGATGGTGATGATGATGATGCTGATGATGATGATGATGATGATGATGATGGTAACGGCTGAGATGGCGATGGTGATGAAGATG